GATGGAGGATGCTGTGATCGGAGCTGTGTTTTTGTTGTGTCTCGCGGGTTTCACAATGACGCACATTCTTTATTCATCATTTTGTAGATGTAAAGTTTAAAAAATCGTTGAATTTTATGGAAAAAAATTTCAATCGCCATATTGTTCCGACCAAAGTGACTTGAACGCACTTGACTTGTCAACTCGTAAGTACAAACGCCCCAGGAGGACTTGAATGCAGCATTAGACCCTGCTCCAGAGTAGGAGCTAATTTGGTTCTCGAAAAAGGCAGTCCGGTACTAAAATCGCACCCAGTTCCGGCGGTGCGAAAACGCCAAAAAGTGGGTAGTTCCACAATTAGTTCTGGTACTATGAAAAGGTTCCCGCGGTGCGAAAGGCCCTAGTGACCTTGTGGTGCCCAAACGAAGTACAAGAAGTGTAGCCTACATGACATGCCTGTTGATAGTGTGATAAAATCTTATATCACAGACAGGACAGGTTATTATTTCAATTTCACATGGGGATTTGTTTCGGCTGGGAAGTGTGCAATCTGTGATTGAGTGCATTTGCTGAAACTCGCGAAAGCCTGCAATCGATTTCTTATGCATGCTGTTTTTTTAGGTTTCACTTTCAACGCATACAACGCATGTTTCAAAGATTCGGGATAGAAGGAGGCATCAGTCACTGTAGAAGATTTGTCGACTTTACAGTGAGGTTTGACTTTCCCATTGTCAATCCAAGATCTCGGCAAAAAAATGTTTTATACACCTTTTGAGGGAAATAAATGTTGTAATGCTCCATAACGTTGTCGAGACAATGCCACAACGAATGCACAATATAATCAAAGCTAAAGGCAGTCCAATGGAATATTAGAGTGTGCGACTTGTTTTTGGCCAGTCAGTGTAAAGTCAACTCCAGCACATCCCAAAGATTTACAATGGGATTAAGGTCAGGACTCTGTGGCAGATCTTTCACAGTTTCAGCATGATGAATCTGGGCATTGTCATCTTGGAATGTGGACATGCTACACACTGCATCAGTTAGGGTTCAAATAATTGTTACCAAACATACAAAATGGCAAAAACATATAATTAACTGCAATAATGATGATTCAATTCTAAATTCTTAAGTATTTGCTTTTTTAAATCCAGGCAGTGACTTTTTTCCTTCTTTTTGGCCAGGCGGTGTCTTTCACAAAATTATTCTTTTTACTATATTTGACTGCCATTGATTGCACATACATTTGAACACATCTAGTTGATGAAACACCTTAATTTGGCCACCCTCTCCAATAATAGCACTGTATACTGAATAATAGGGTGGCCAAACAACAAAGTGAACTCATTAGTGACTCTTTGATTTATGGAGGTCGCCTGGAGCGTTTGCACACAATTGGAGGACACCTCTGACACAGAAAAGTGCAAAGTCATTATTAGAATGGAAAAGGGACTGTTAGAAGTGTACAGCAAAAATAAACACACCGAAACAGGCTTTCTGCTTCTACTGATAGAGTTCACTGACAAAGTGTCAGATACGAAATTATTCAGTTTAGCAAATTTGAGCCTTTATCAATCACTTTAAAGTATATTAAGTTAAAGTAGCTGTACACATAGCCTAAAAATACTCTTACAATACAGTTTTGCAATCCTCTGAAAACCTAACTTGTATGTGCTTGCCTTAGCCAACTGCACTGACAATACAAGAAAAACAAGGCCACATTACAATCAAAAATCTTTAATGGTAGTCAGTCCCACCATGTTATTGCATTAAATGCATTGTCTGCCGTGTGAGAAAAGGACTGGAGGAAAGGTGAGGAACGTCCTCCTGAGGATCATTTACAAACACAAGAACATTTCACTTTATCATGCATCAGTGACTTTAACACTTTAACTTCACAGAAGCGCCTCACTGTGTTGCAAAAGGCCTCAATGAGTACTTTATCATCTGGATGTCGTTATATAACACCCACATTCCAGACTATCAGGCATGGTTTACAGATGGGCGTGGCTTGAGAGCCTTCTGTTCTTTCAGCTTCTGTATCTGGATATAAAGGGTCAAGCCTCAACACAGACCAGATGAAGACATCTGACTGCTGCGCTCACAGCCGCAAAAATGATTTTCTTTTTATTTATTGTGTTTTTATTGGTTGCATATTTGATTGGTCATAGGATTTTTGTTCATAGGAAGACCTTCACCGGCACTGCCAAACTATATGGGAAAACCGTCATTGTAACGGGTTGGTGACTTTTCTTCAAAAGTTTGCACTGTGCAAGATTTCTCAGAGGTTATTCTTTCAGAGCTCAACTTAGATGTTTCTCCTAAAATTCCTTAGAAGAAATGAAAATAGAATATGAAAAGCAAATATGACAAGAAAAAGTATGAGACACTGTTGAGATCTCCTCTTTAATATTACTGGAGTCTTTTTTTTCTAGGTTAAAAATCTGAGCAGCAGGAGACTAAAATAGCTTATTAAATTTTCATTAAATAAAATTTTGTGATTTTAAAGTTGTCATATATGATTTTTCTTTCCTATAAAGTCACAGAACTGCATGTAATAAGAGTTAGAGTGTTTCTTCTAAATGTATCAGGGTTATCATAATAGTTTAAAAACCAACAACTGTTAATTAAAATAAAGGTGAAATAAAATCAAATATAAATATTGAATGAAAACTTATAATAATGGAAATTAAAAAATAAAATGTAATAAAAAATATATTATTAATATTAAAATATCACTGAAACAAATTCATGCATTGCATGTCATATAATACAAATAATACTAGACAATATAAAACAAAACAGAGTTTTCTATGGAGTAGAAAAAAAAGCAATTAAACCTACTAAGAACCCTCAGCAAACTTTTAATTTTGTAAAGAGTTTTAAAAGTGTGACTTATAGACCCAGGGAAGTCGTGTATATTAATGAAATCTTAAAATGCCATCTACGTTCTATAATGAATATACATTTTTCTGGTTTCGCTTTGAATATTGATTTGGACAATGGGGGTTTGGAGTCAAAATGTTAAGAATCACTGTTCTAAATAAAGTTAAGCAAGAACAAATATTTAACATGAAGCTATGACTCTGTGCCTGTCTATGCTGGAACAACAAAGAATACATATTCTATCTGTTGTGTCTGACAGGTGGCAACACTGGCATTGGGAAGGCGACTGCCGCAGAGCTGGCCATGAGAGGAGCCCGAGTGATTCTGGCCTGCCGCAGCAAACAGAGAGGAGAAGCAGCAGCACAAGAAATCAGGATGGTGAGTGAAAGCTCTGATTTAACTCTGGTCTGGGAAGACCGGGGCTAGTTGTCACAGTGAATATTTCTAGAGGTCTGTGTGTTAGTACTGACAAAGTCTCGACTACCAAAAAAAATTAATTCTTTGTCCCAGTTCATTAATTATTAAGCTATAACTTCATACTTTATCTATTGTACAAACATTGTAACGGATAGAACATTCTGATATTTTCCTTAGGAGACTAGGAATGATGCTGTGATCTTCATGCAACTGGATCTTGCAAGTCAGAAATCCATCCGATCTTTTGCCGAAACCTTCCTGAAAGCCGAGCCCAGACTGGACCTGCTCATCAATAATGCTGGTAAAACTAAAAAAGCAAACCTAACCAGCTCCTAAACCTATAAGGTTAAAACTTCAACATGCGTAAACTACCTAATATATTTGATCAAAAATACAGTAAAGCTGTAATATTGTGAAATATTTTTACAATTAAATAAATACATTCAATCTTACCCTGAAAGTTTCCACAACAGTATGCTGAGAAAAACTGCTGAAAATTCAGCTTTGCATCACAGGAATTAATTACATTTGGCAATATATTACAACAGAAAAGTTATTTTCATTTGTAATAATATTACCGTTTTTACTGTATTTTTGAGCATAAGAGACTTCTTTCAAAAACATTGAAAAATCTTATTCCAAATTTTGACTGGTAGTGTAAGCTGTGGTTTGTTACACCAGCATGAATGATACCTGTTTGTTGTGTTGTTAAGCACTGGCCGCTCCAGGACGCACTGAAGATGGCATCGGGATGATCCTCGGTGTCAATCATATCGGTCCATTCCTGTTGACCAATCTTCTGTTGGAGCGTCTCAAGGAGTGTGCGCCCAGCAGAGTGGTCAACGTGTCATCTTGTGGTCATGATCTGGGCACTATTGATTTCGACTGCATCAACACACACAAGAAGCTCGCTCTGGGATCATCTGACGCTGAATTATTCAGGGCCTACACCCACAGCAAGCTCTGTAATGTGCTCTTCACTCATGAACTGGCCAAGAGACTGGAGGGAACCAGCGTCACATGCTACAGTCTCCATCCAGGTTAGTGATTAGTGAGAGTTTGCAATATGTATTTTTTTCTGCCAAAAACTATTCATAAATCTAAAACATACATATAATGCTTAATAGGTCAGTGCAACAGGATCTTCGGTGTTTCTTTGCAGAAACATTAGCTATGAGTTGCCACAAAACACAGGCAAGTTTTTTGCAGGCAAATTTTTCCTTTTCAAGACCAATTAAAGGGTTACAAATACATCAGTAGGTTCTCTAAATGCCACTTCCAACCTATCTCCATTACTTTTTCATTAATTTTACACATAAAAATAGCTTAACTAAAATATGGAAATAACTTTTACTGTATCTTCTGATCACACTGTACAAAAATGATGTTCTTCCTTATTTGTTTTGTAGTTTTTGAGTTAATTAAAAAAAAGGATATGCAGCAGTGACATAAGAAGTCTTGTTTCTGAGAATTGTATCAACATGAAGTGAATTTATGATAAAAAGGAAAATATCAAATCCAACGGACGCAGAAAAATCTACTTAATTTCCTTAATTTTGTTCAATTTCTCAAAAAACAAACAAACAAAAAAACAAGACTGCATATCTTCAGTTTGCATCTCAAGTAAATGGATAAGGATGTTTAGACACTTGTATTGGAAAATAGGACAAAAATACAATTTATAATTTTTGCAGTGAATGGCCATCTCTATCTTTCTGTCGCTCGGCTCGGCTAATGTCCGTCCCATGCACTGAAAGCTCTCTCCTCCACATCACGAGTAGACACGCCCCTTATTGCTGATTGGCTACAAGTTTGCTTTGCTATTCGGCCCGAATCAGTTTTCTAAAGTGTTTTTGAAAAATCACATACCCTGCCTTTAATGCCATGACTTTCTGCTCCAATTTAAGACCTTTTAAGTCCTTAATTCGTGGAAGGGCAAATTAAGACATTTTAAGAACTTTTCAAGTATGCGCAGAAACCCTGAAAACAGCAGGGATCCAAAAAAAACTAAACAAAAAACAACAACAACAGGGAAAAGTCAGAAGTATCTAGCCCGTTGCATCCATTTCTCACCCTGTTTTCTGTGTTTGATCTGTTTCAGGGTCGGTAAGATCAGAGCTCGCCCGTGACATCAATGAATGGCACACACACATTATCAAGGCCATTATTAGCAAGTTCTGGGCGACCGACCCGGTGTCTGGGGCTCAGACGACGCTGTACTGCGCACTACAAGAGAACATCGAGCACCTGAGCGGACGATACTTTTCTGACTGTCAGCTGGTGCAAGTCAAGCCTGAGGCCAGAGATGATGGAATCGCCAAAAAACTGTGGGACGTCAGTGAGAAGTTATGTGGCATGGCTTGAATACACAGGCGCACACATTGCTGTGAGAAAAGTACCGTAATATCTTGATTTTGGTATTTTTTCTTTTGGTATATTATGTGTCCTTCAGGCAGAGTCAGAAATATCATAATTACACGTTCTGAGCACACAAGTGAGTGGAAAGCAAGTCTGTAACCAGTGCTGTTAATCACTCAACTTTTATATTTAGCTTCACATTTAGTTGTGATTGAAATAATTTTTTTGCATAATCAAATAAAAAATGGAGAAATAAAAAACTATCTATATAAAAACATATATTTTAAGTGTATAGCAAAATATGCATACATATACAAATATACATATATGTGTGTGTGTGTATACATACATATATATATATATATATATATGAATGCCTATTTTCAGACAGCATAGTGAGACCAACTGGATTATGTCATTTGATTTGGACTCAATTACGTAATTCATGCATATTATTGCAAAATATGCTGTTATATACAAATATATATATATATATATATATATATACAAATATACATATGTGTGTGTGTGTTTGTATATAAATATACACTGTATACATGAATGCCTATTTTGAGACAGCATAGTGAGACCGAATGGATTACGTCATTTGATTTGGACTCATTTGGTGTTGTATGGAACTGGGTGGATCTTTTGGCATAATCTGGTTGCTGTGACTCTGATTGAATTTTCTTTACAGCATCATGGGTAATGTAGTTTTTCACTACTCATAATTGTTTTAAAAATAAGGCTTTGACTAATGCATATACCATTAAAAAGCCAATTTCTCTATGGAGTTTTTACTTCCAAAACCTGACTGTTGAACTCTATAACAAACACCAGACTTAGAGGTATGGGTTTCCCAGGCACACTTGAAGGCAGCATTACACTATGTAAACTGATGTTCTTCGTACTGTATTTGGTATAAAAATAAATAAATAAATAAATGACAAAGCCATTTGTAAATGTATTAAACCGGCAATTTGTTGAGACAGTAGTGCCTTTCAGATGCCCCTCAAATGGTTGAGGCAAGTGCTTTTTAAATGCTACTTCCTTAAATGCCAAACACAAAATGCACGACTCGACTCTCCCATTGTACGGCTTGTAAAAACAAGTACTGTTTTTTTTTGTGTTTGTTTTTTCCCCATTTTATTTTGGCAAGGTGCAAAGGACAAAATCAGACATGTAAGATGAAACCTGCAGCAACAGGAAGTGGTTTAGTCCAATAGAACTGCTGTCAGTTATACGAGCACAGTTAGAGATATTATACTAGCTTTATACAATAAAACTGATCTGCACACCCATTCACAACATTCAGATCAAGTGTCAGCAGTGACATGGCAGTTGTTCTGCATTCTCAAGGAACTTGGATTGACGGAAAACATGCACACCCCACATACATCAGTTAACAAGGTGTGCAAACATTACAGCCCTTTATGCTTGATGCAGACCTGTTTATATTAATTTTGAAGTATATAAAGCGTATATAATTTCAGCCCAAGCAAAGCTTATTAACATTGACTTTTAATACAGAGTCAGAGGTGAAAGGCATGAAAGAAAATCATTTCTCCTTTGATGTTGCCTAACTCTCCTTCATATTTCCACATTAAAATTGAATTAAAAATATATCTTGATTCCTCAATTGTAAATTGTGTCAAGACAAGTGTCTGCTAAATGAATAAATGTGACTACGCTAAAGTATGCATGCTCAAGATGCAAATGGATGTCTGGCACGGTGTTATTTTAGTATCACTCAGGTACTATTAAAGTTATCATAATAATATTTGAATTAGTTTTTATTTTTATATTTTCCATTTCAGTTAGAATTGTAGTAATTTTGTTCTGCAATTTTTTTTATTTATTTACTTGGGAATTAGCTGGAATAATATATATATATATATACATATACACACACACACACATACTACTTGTTGCAAGCATGTGGACCTACTCATATTTATCATATCTATCCAGATTTTTGCATGTTCATTCACTCAAAATGTGCACTTCATATTTTCTGTTATAACACATGGGGCCCAATTATACAAAAACAGCCCCTGAAACACCACTGAGATCATTTCTAGCCTAAAGCACCGTGTCTATATGATCCTCTTATCAGACAAGCTCAGGTAGGGCATTATAGGACAAAGGGTATCAATGACTAAGCACCAGTTCAAACTTTACCTTAAATACCAATGAGTGCCGAATAATTAAAAAAAAGAAAGTATTCTTGATGCATATGTAATAGAGGCTCTTTTGTGAAAAGACATTTTTTGGAGTGTGATGTCAAATGTATTTTCAGAAGACTATAAATAACAGTATTAGAGATAATAAAATAGCTCAAGTTTAAGTATATAACAATAGTTCAATTAGCATAAATTCCCAAAACTAATTGAAAACTAAAATTGTTTATTTGTTTTGTCGAGCTGTACAGTGCGTGTTAGTTATTCATTTTCTGTTTCATCTAAGACCTGCTGTAGATGGTCATTGACAGTCTTTAGCTGGTGCTCTGTTCCCATGATGCACCTGGCTTCCATCAACATGGCAGGCATACAGGATGGGCCATACTGTCAGACGAAAGACAGAAATGAAATGAGAAATGGACCCAAGAACACCTAAAATATGACAAGATGGTTTGCTTGTACAGCAAGTTTATGCACAGAACTCAACAGGAATGAAAGCTCAACACCAAACCAACTAGCTGCAGACTTCCTCACCGTTTCCACCTCATCCGGATGAGCTTTATGGTGCTTCAGGTACTTCCTGTTGAGCTCCTGCAGGTTAGTTAGCAAAGAGGATCCTTCTCTCAGAGCTTTGAGTCTCTGTTCCATCTCATCATGCTCTTTCTGAAGGATCCTCAGCTTTGTCTTTCCCCTGAAACCAGAAATTCATTTTAATTTCACAGCTATAAATTCATTACTATGAATTGAACGAGCAATTTTTATACTATAGTATAAAAGAGCAAGGAAAATCCAGTTTTCCATGATATGGTCCCTTTAGAATGTAGACCTCAAATGTAACATTAATTATGTTTACTTGTAAGTGCTTACTTAATGAGCTCATTATTGGCTTCCACAAGTCTGGTCCTCTTCTTATTAATAGTGCTATTGATCTGAAAGAGAGAACAATACAGTTAATAGCAACACTGCTATTCAAATAATTTCCAATCAAAAGTCTGGAAAAACTATTGTGAAAATTATTAAAATGTAAAAGAAATTTTCTATTTGAATGTATTTTAAAATGTAATTTATTCCTGTGATCAAAGCTGAATTTTCAGCATCATTACTCCAGTGTCACATGATCCTTCAGAAATAATTCTAATATGCATTTAAATTTTTATATTTCACGATATTACTGTTTTTACTGCATTTTTGGTCAAATAAAAGCAGTCTTGCTGAGCATAAGACACTTATTTTCTAAACATTTATAATTCTTCCAAACTTTTGATGTGTAGTCGGTGTATATTGCCCAGATGAGTCATGCAATGGAGAATCACCTTGTTATTTTCTCTTTTCACATTCTTGAGTTGCTTTGTTGCTGTGATCTATGAATAAATTACACATTTTTATAATTATGACATCAGCAACATTTATTTTATGTGAAAAGATCTGAAAAACATTCTCACTATCTCCGAGAGCTGCTCCTCAAACGAGCGACTGACAGCATCAATGGAGCGTTTGACTGCTTCAGAGTTTATGGTCTGCCTGCAGAAACCAGTCAAAATATTTAAGCATAGGGCTGGGCGATATAGCTAAAAAATGTATCAATGATATAATGTTTCATATCGTTCGGTATCGATAATTATTGACATTTTTTATAACCTTTTTAAAACAAAGAGCAATAGAAAAAAAGTTTCAATTTAACCACTGTATTTTTAAATTAACCCAATTTATTGAGACAAACAATTAATATTTTTTGTTTTAACAGTCAAACACAAAATAAAAATTAAACAAATATCTAATTTCTAATGTTTTATATGCAGATTAAATAGGT